TTCCCTCCAACCAGCTTACCAGTTCATGTTTGGCTTTGAATGGGAAAATCCCACTTCAAAGGAAAAACAGCAGAATTCTTGGGCAGTTCTCCCACAGGGCTTTAGAGATAGTGTTCTCCTTTTTGCTTTAGCACTAGAATGGACTTAAGGACCTATCCTTTAAACAAGGAACCATTCATCTAAAGTATGTAAATGATATTTTAATCTTCAGTCTAACTTGGAAGTTATCCAACTATAACACTATCCCAGCCCTCAATTTTCTAGCTTAGAAAAAATATAAAGTCTCAAAGAAAAAGTTTCGAATATTTCTCTAGAAAACTCAATTCTTGGTATATATTCTTACACCTGTTTAGGGATTAGATTCAACTGTGACCTTGTGAAACAATGCAATGGTATTGTTTCTTCCTGGGAATAGCTAGGGTCTGCTGGATTTGGATACTAATTTTAGACTAATGGAAAAGCCATAAATGAGGCTGTCAAAAGTCCTGAGTCTGTGTCCCAGACACAAGTTACTGACAAAGCCTTTTGAGAAATAAAATATGCCCTTACGTAGGCTCTAGTAGTGGGAATACCTAATTTAAGAAAACTTTTCTTCGTCTGCACATCCAAAAAAAGAGGAATTGCTTTTGCTATCTTAACCCAAAGCCTGAGGAAGAACTCCACCTAGTGACATACTTTTCACAAAAGTTTGAGTGGCTGCTGGGTGGCCACCCTGCCTAAGCAGAGTAGCAGCTATAGCTGTGCTAACAGAAGCTGTGAAACAACTCTGGCAAAAACTGGAAGTCTTGACACCCCATCAAATCAGAGCTATTCTTGAAACAAAAGGTTATTTGTGGTTGACAGGAAAACAGCTTACCAAGTAACAAACCATGCTCTTAGACACCCCTAAGTCCTCAATTTATGAACAAATGCCATTCTGGGAGAACTTTTTGGAAGTTGGCTTTGTGTGTCAGCTTAAAAAGTGAGTCTTATAGAGTACACCTGTGGAAGTTCAAAACTTAAAAGTTCACAAGTCAGTGACTTACTATACTCTTCATCCTGACTTACTGATTCCCAAAGATTCTGCTTTTGTGAACAGGTGATTTTTCAGAGCTATATAAGTAGGCAGGACATCAGTGACCTGCCTCTTCAAGACCCTAAGGAGGTATGGTTCATGGATGGCAGTATCTTTGTCAAAGAAAGACACTAAAAAGTAGGTTATACAACTGTCAGTTCACAACAGGTCACTGAACCCACTGAACTCAAGAACTGATACTTTATTTAAAAAGACAAAAAGCTAATTATCTATACAGACTTCAAATATACCTTTCTGGTGCTAAATGCCCATGCAGCAGTCTGGAAAGAAAAGTACTTGCTAACTAATAAGCAATCATCTATAAAGCACAAGCAAGAAATTCTACAATTCCAACAGGCAGTCTATCTTCCCAAGCCAGTTGCTGGCACTTAAGAGACACCAAAGAGGCATGGATAAAATCTTTTTGGGAAATTATATGGCTTATAAGGAGTCAAAAAGGGAAGCCCTAAAGTTCCTGAAGACCTTATCCTATTCCCAGTTCCTGAGGAATGATAAAATCTCTAGAAAAAATACTTAGGACGGGGGAATTAAAAGAGGATTCTGGTAGTATTTAAAAAACAAATTGGTTCTTCCTCAAGGGACAAAGTGAAAAGTTATAAAAGCCTTCATGATTCTTTTCCATGGGAAGAGATATATTGGAAATGGTCACTGAATTTTTCACAGGACTAGGACTATCAACTACCACCTGAAAGTTTGGACAAAAGGCTATAGAGGTAATCAAGGCACTCCTCAAAGAAATGATTCCCTGGAAGCTGGCAATGACTCAAGCCCTACCTCTCAATAACTCAGAGGTGGCAACGGCTGTAGGAATAAAGTACATCTCCATTCTATAGAAACCTCAGTCCTTTGGAAAGGTTGAGAGAGCCAACTGAACCCTGTAGTTAACTGGCAAAATATGGCCAAAGGACTCTATGACGTGGCACTGGTTATTGACTATTGCATTTACAAGAATTTAAAACACTTCCGAAACTAGGCTAAATATGAGTCCATCTGAGATGTTAAATGACTGTAAGACCCTTGCAATATATTAAACTAGGCCAATTACCACAGGCCCTCCAACCATAATGTAGACAAAATCCTGCCAGCTCTTAGCTCAAGGGGAACACCTAGTGTCCACCTTGGAGACCAAATTATATGCTGGATTGTCTGTGCATAAACTGAACAGAAGTAAAGTCAAAAATCATCCCAGACATTGAAATTAAGACATGTGACTGTTCACTGGTAGTGCTATAATGATTTGTGGACTAAAGGGCAAGCAGAAAATCTATTTTTTGCAGTTATTCATAATGAATATTCTATGGTGAATTAAATTTGACATTTTTTTTAAGGGATGGGGATGATTGAACTCAACTATGCTATCTAAAACCTGTCTATATTGGAACCAGGCAAAGTTCTTGAAACTTGTGTACAATAAATTTCATACATTTACAGTGCATAATTTGATCATTTTATCAATAATGCTCCTATAAAACTATTAACATTATCAAGATTATGCAAGTATTCACTATGCTCAAGTTCCCTCTTGCCTCCTTATGTAAAATGCTTCCCTTCTACTATACACGTTACCCAACTTTAAGATCCCAAACAACCACTGATTCCCTTTCAAGAACAATACATTATTTCTCATTTTCCAGAATTATTCAGTATATGTTCTTTTTTTCCCTCTGCCTTCTTCCATTCAATATAATTATTTTCAGATTCTTTCATTTTGCTGCATGTTTCGATTGTTAATTCCCTTTTACTGCTAAATTGTCTCTCACTGCATATATACCAGATTTTAACTAACCCTCATTTGATAAATATTTGGGTTGTTTAAACTTTTCAGCTATTACAAATAATGTTGCTGTAGCCATTCACATATAAAACACTTTGTGGGCATGTGTCACTATTTCTTTGGGGTGTTTACCAAAGGATGGAATGACTAGATCACAATTTAGGCATGTATATCATTTTTTCAAAATTACCAAACTGCTTTCTAAAGTGGCTATACCATTTTACATTCCTATGAGTAGACAATGAATGTTTCAGATCTTTAATATTCTAGTCAAAACATGGGGTAGTCTTAAATTTTAGTCATTCTTATAGGTCTAAAGTACCACTGATTGTAGAATTTAATAACTAATAAAGTTGAACATTTTTATGTTTATTTGCTACACTTTTATATTTCTGGTTAAATGCCTATTTAAATCTTTGCCTCTGTTTTAAATTGGGTTGTATGTTTTGTCATTACTGAGTTTCAAGAGTTCTTTATACATTCTGGATACAAAATATTTATCAGGCGCATGATTTACAATATTTCATTCCAATCTTTTTATTCCCTTTAGTATTTATTTTTAAAAACAAAATTTAGTTTTTATTTTGATGAAAACTGATTTAACACTTCTTTTTTTTATTTAAGGAGAAAAAGAAAAAAACAAAAAGGGTACAAGTAATACAAAATTTAAAAAATAAACAGTAAGAAATCACTAGTTAATAGATTACTATTTTCATCTTAGAAATAGTTGTTCAACTTACAAAACTAAAGCATATAAAGTGGACTTTCAAACAGTGAGAGTGCAAACAGTTTTGTTCAATGATCAAAAAAACCTCAGTAATATGTTATCTATCTTATACACTTAAACAATATATGTATATTTTGTTTTGTTTTCTTTTTTATCGGTACCAGGGATTGAACTCACAACCACACACTTGCAAGGCAGGCACTTATGCCGCTGAGCTAAATCCCCAGCCCCTTTAGGTAACATTTTAATGGGATTTCTAAATAAAAGTTGAGGACAGGAGTTCAGTTAAAAAGGACATCTTGGAGTTATTTTGTAGCTCAGTAGTGCAGCATGTACTTAGCATATATGAGGCTTAGAATTTAAAATACAGAACCATAAACAGGGCTGGAGTGTAACTCAATGGCACAGCAAGTACTATTCATATGCAACCCTCTGGGTGTGATCCCCAGAACAGTAAAAATGAAAGGAAAGAAGAAAAAGAAGAGAGAAGGGAAGAGGCTGGGGCAGGTATCTGTATAAAATTTTTTATTAGTGCATATTAATAACAGTGCTCCTACCACTTGGTAACATATACTGGATTTTCTGTTCTATGCATTCGCCTATACTAGATATCACACTTGATATCTAAGCAGAGATATATTTGTCCTTTTGTGTATGATTTGTTTCACTTAGCATAATGTTTTGAAGTTAACCAGATTGTATTATTGAGTGTATGGATGAATAATCTATTGTATGGATATATCACATTTCACTTATCCTTTCTTCATCTAATAGCACTGGGATTGTTTTCTTCCAGTGGAAACGATGTTCCTCCTGAATGGTATTGATACTGTGTGAGTTCTTCTAAGGACACATATTTTCATTTCTTTGAACACATATTTAAGTGTAGTACTTAACTTTAAGGAACTGTCAGATTGTTTCTGAAAAGCAACTGCACATTTTTCACTCCATCAACAGTGTATCAGGGTTCAAACTTCTCTATATGCTTTCCAATGTGTTATTTTTAAAATACAATTATTGGTGCAGTGCTCCCCACACATGAACAAGCAATGAGGCGTCCCTTCCCAATGAAGAGACATGAGCCTCCACCAACTGCAACAAGTTTGTACATTTTACTTCTCAAACTTGATCATGGGAGAAAAAGTAAACTGGAAAGCCAGTTGGCCCATGGAAAAAATGTGGACCTGGCAAGCAATTTCAGTGACTCCAATGTTATCCTCCCAAAGTGATTTAGTAAAAGACAACCACAGGAGGCCACAATAGAGAGGGAGTGGGCCAGAGAACCCTGAAAAGTATAAGCTCAGGCAAGAAAGATCACTGGCCCTGCCCTCCTTGGGAAGCAACCAGAGCCCGTGAGTGCTGACACAGCACAGATAAAACTCTGAGTAACCGGAAGACTCACTCCTTTTCCCATCTACCAACAGGAGCAAAGAAATGCCTCCTTGGTAACTACAGTCTGGAGTAAATGTACAGAGGTGCCCTTGGTGGAGGAAGGGCAGAGAATCATGACTGGCTGGATACCAAGAAGGTAGACCTTGGAAAAATTTTTTAAAAAAAGGTGGTAGACTGAATTTTTTTTCTTGACTCAATTTTTTTTCTATTTTTTATTACTTTTCTCTTGCCTTCATCAGATTTGGGGCAGAAAGCCGGGGTTATTTCTTTTTTCACTTTTTTTCTTCTTTCATTTAATTTCATTTCTTTTTCTTTTTTCCCCTTTCAACTTTTTTTCCTCTTCTTTATTTCTCTCTCATTTCCTGCTTTTTTTTTTCTTATTTGTTGTTACCTGCAATTATTCTTTAATGTTACTAATTTCCTTTTATTCCTCAGTAGGCTCTCCCAAATCTCTTGTAAATCTTCCTTCTTATATCTTGTTAATAGTTCAAATTTGCTTTTTTATTCTCTGAATCCCCAATCCTCCTTTAATAGTGCTAACTACTACATTTTATGAATCACATTTTATGAATACATTTTATGAATCATAAAGTTAATTAGTTAACTTTATGCTGCTGCTGTTGAATACCCTTCTATTTGTTAGTAAAGTTTTCCATTTAGTAGATATTTACTATAGGTTAATAGTTGGCCAACATTTGGTATTTCTCAGTGTTCCTAATAACAAATTTTCCATAGTCATGGTTGGTATATTGTTGGTCCTTAAGGCTTGTCAATACTTAGTTATTTTTTATATTATAAATGACATGATTTTATTATGATACCCTAACAGATATAGCTGTTGCTATAGTTTTGTTTTGTTTTTTTTTTAGGATGCCAGTATCTGGATTCACACAGGGTCATTAACAGTACTGCACCCTGTTTCTGAAGAACTAGGTACTGGGCCAAGCCAAGTATGGTACAACCTCCCATCCCAAAGAAACTGAGGTTTGTGAATCCTGGGACAGAGGCAAAAGACAACAGTTAGCCATGGCCAGAGGACACTGCTGAAAAGGGGACATTCTCCAAACTAGAAACAAAGTTTTCCATTATAATCAATTCATAAGCTGCAAAACAAAGCAAACAAAAAACAGACCATTAGAAGGCAAAACAATGACCCCTAAAACTCACTTCAATACTGATCTGTGGGGCATCAAAGGGGAGGAAACCGAAAGGAACACAGCCAAATTATTGAAAATGATAGCAGGGAAGATAATAAAACAGATCAATAAGGCATTTTATAAGCTCACATGATACAAGTAAAAAGACCATGTGCCACATAAACAAAATGATCAGTGAGTCAACAGAGGACACTAATGGTAATAAAAACCAGCAAAGCTAAGCAAAACAATACATGAATAACCAACACAGAAAAGAGCTACTCCATAAAAGGGCTCCAGATGTAAATGCGGGAGATTAAAAATTCTAAAAAGTATTGGCTGCAGAAAAGACTCATGTGAACACTGTGAGAACTAGGAAACAACATGTTTTGTCCCCTTTGTCAAAGATCAAGTAGTTGAATATGTCTGGTGAGGTTTCTGTGTCCTAAATTTTGTTCCATTGTTCTATATGTCTGTTTTTGTTCCAGTACTGTCATTATCACAACTGCTTTGTAGAGACAAAGACAAAAATCATACAAACATCTAAATACATGAAGAAAAAGCTTTTGACAAAGGTCAACTCCATTCATGATAAAAAAAATCTACAGAAAATTGGGATAGATGGCCTTTATCTCACTTTCATAAAAGCTATCTATGGCAAATCAATAGCCAACATTATACTAAATGGTTAAAAACTGAAAACTTTCACTCTAAAATCAGGACCAAAACAAGGATGGTCACTATCACTACTCCTATTTACTACAGTTCTGGAAACATTAGCCAGGGCAATTAGATAAGAGAAAAATTCTACCAAAAGGCTAACAGATATAGTAATGAAATTCAGTTATGTAGCTGGACACAAGAACAACACTCAAAAATCAATAGCCTTCCTCTACACAACAGACCCATTAAGGGAGAAATTACGGAAATAATGTATTTCATAATAGAACACACACACACACACAAGAAATATTTAGGAATCACTTTAACAAAGAAAAAGACTTCTATATCACAGCAGACTTTTCAACCCTCAAGTCAAAAAGAGCTTGGAGTCAAATATTCCTATCCCTAAAAGAAAACAGTCTACAACCCAACAGTCATAAAAATGAATTACCTAGGTATCAATCTAATGAAAGAAGAAAAAAACCTCTACATCAAAAAAAAGGAAAATTGAAGAGAGTATCAGAAAATGGAAAGATATCTCTTTTCTTTTTTTTTTTTTTTCCCAGTACCGGGGATCAAACTCACGACTGCCTGCTTGCAAGGCAGGTGCTTATGCTGCTGAGCTAAATCCCCAGCCCAGAAAGATATTTTTTGTTTTTGGGTGAGAAGAATTAATATAGTCAAAATGGCCATACTTCCAATATTGTTATACAGATTTACTGTAATGCTAATCAAAATTCCAACAGCATATCTCACAGAATTAAAGAAAACAATCCTAAATTTCATCTGGAAACAGAAAAGACCTAGAAAAGCAAAGGCAATTCTGGACAAAAAGAAAGTCAACCCTGTCGGGTTGAGTAAGTCCAGCAGAGGCACAGAACTCTCTTCTTCACCTGGGGGCCAGGCCCAGGCTCCCTGTCAGGATGAGTAAGTCCAGCAGAGGCAGGGAACCCCACACCAGCCCGGAGGAACTCTTTTCTTTGCCTGGGGGCCAGGCCCTGGCTTCCTGTCGAGATCAGTGAGTCAGGAGGGGGCAGGGAATTCCGAGATCAGCGAGTCAGGAGGGGGCAGGGAATTCTGTCCCAGCCTGGTTGACCTCTCTCCCTCACTTGGAACAACACTTGAAGCTCAAAAATATAGGAAAATGACAAAACGAAAGACCAAAATGCAATCTCAAACATCCAGCCCATCCCAAGAAAGCCTAGGAGCCATGTGCATAGAAGAAAATATATGCCACATACCTGAAATACCTGAAATAATAGTTACTGAAATAAAGAAGCAACTCTGGAAAGCCTTAAAGGAACTCAAACTAGAAATAATCTCTCAGGTAAAAGAAGAAATGATAAAAGAAATGAAGGAGATGATGAACATATCTAAAGAAGACACAGTTAAAAAATTGGAGGAACTAAACAAAAAGATAGAGTCCCTGGATGAACAATATAAGAAACAAACAGAATATATAAAGCAGATGCAAAGAGATATACAGGAAATCAAAAACTCCATCAAAAGCTGTAAAAACCACCTCAATGAATGTGAAGATAGAATCTCAGACCTCGAAGACAAGATTGCAGCCAGTGAACAGGAAAGGAAAGATCTTTTTAAAATAACAAGAAATCAGGAAATAACAATTCAACACCTGCAAGATGACGCAAACAGGAACAACGTAAGGTTGATAGGGATAAATGAAAAAGAAGGGGACAACATAAAGGATGTCAAGAGGATATTTAGAGAAGTAATAGCTGAAAATTTCCCAAACATGAGATTGGAAACTGATATCAAGATCAATGAAGCATACAGAACTCCAAATAGCCATAACCAAAATAAAACTACACCCAGACACATAATAATGGCCATCCCAGAAATTGAACAAAAGAATAGAATATTAAAAGCTGTCAGAGAGAAGAGACAGATCACCTATAAAGGAAAACCTATCAGAATCACAGCAGACTTCTCAGCACAGACAATAAAGTCAAGAAGAGCATGGAGTGAAGTATTTCAGATCCTAAAGGAAAATGATTTCCAACCTAGACTGATATACCCTGCAAAATTGTCCTTCAAAATGGATGGAGAAATAAGATACTTCCATGACAAAGATCAGCTGAAAAACTTCATGATCACCAAGCCAACCCTGCAAAGAATAATGAAAGACAGTCTAGATACATTTAGGAAAAAACCACTAAACAAAGCAGACAATTAAACAGAACCAAAAGATAAAGATGCAACAGCAGAAAGATAACATGCCCACAATAAACCGATATATAACAGTTATAACCATTAATGTAAATGGTCTCAATGCACCAATTAAAAGAAACAGACTGGCAGAATGGGTCAAGAGACAAAATCCAACCATATGTTGTCTACAAGAAACCCATCTAACCCAAAAGGATACCCACAGATTGAAAGTCAAAGGATGGAAAACAACAGGGACCCAAAAAAAGTGGGGGTGACTATTCTGTTTGCAGACAATGTGAACTTCAAGCCAATAATGATCAGAAGGGATAAAGAAGGTCACTACATACTGGTTAGGGGAAAACTTCAAGAGGAAGAGATAACTATCTTAAATATATATGCACCAAATTACAGAGCACCCAGTTTAAAACAAATACTAACAGAAATGAAAAAGCAAGTTAACAGTAACACAATTCTAACAGGAGATCTTAACACACCATTGACACCAATGGACAGATCAACCAGACAGAAAATCAGCAAAGAAATAAAAGAACTGAATCGCACCTGTAAAAAATGGACTTAATAGAGTATTCCACCCAACAACAGAATACACATTCTTCTCAGCAGTACATGGGTCATTCTCTAAAATAGACCATATATTAATTCACAAAACATATCTAATAAATGCAAAAGGTTTGAAATTACCCCTTGCATGCTATCGGACCATAGTGCTATGAAATTAGAAATTAATGATAAAAGATACTGCAAATTCCCACAAACACATGGAAACTGAATAACACACTCATGAGAAATCAGTGGGTCACACAGGAAATTAAAGAAGAAATTAAACACTACCTACAAGAAAATGAAAACACAAATACAACTTATTGGAATCTGTGCGATGCAATGAAAGCTGTCCTCAGAGGAAAATTTATTGTATTGAGTTCACACATCAGGAAAACAGAACGAATACAGATAAATAACCTGATGTTACACCTCAAACATCTAGAAAAAAAAGAGCAAGTCAACCCCAAAGCCAAAAGAAGAGAAGAAATGATAAAAATCAGAGCAGAAATCAATGTAATAGAGACTAAAAAAAAATCAATGAATCAAAGAGTTGGTTCTTTGAAAGAATAAATAAAATTGACAAGCCCCTAGCCAACTATTTTTTTTTTACACTTTTTTTTTTGTTTTTCTTTTTATCGGTACCGGGGATCAAGCTCACAACCGCCTGCTTATGCCGCTGAGCTAAATCCCCAGCCCCAATCTTTATTTAAAAAAGGGAAGAAAAAGCTCAAATTCATGCAATAAGGAATGAAAGAGGAGAAATCACTACAGACCCTACAGAAATACAGAAAATCATCAACACCTATTTCAAAAACCTCTACTCTCAAAGGTTTGATAACACAGAGGAAATGGACATATTCCTAGAAGCATATGAAGTACCAAAGCTAGGTCATGAAGATCTAAAACTACTGAATAACCCAATTTCTATTAATGAAATTGAAAACGTAATTAAATCCTTACCTACAAAGAAGAGCCCAGATAGATTCAATGCAGAATTCTACAAGAAATACAAAGAAGACCTAATGCCAACACTCCTCAAACTCTTCAATGAAATTGAAAGGGAAGCAATCCTTCCTAAATCGTTCCTAGAAGCAAATATTACTCTAGTACCAAAACCTGAAAAGGACCCAACTGAAAAAGAGAACGACAGACCAATCTCCCTAATGAACACAGATGCAAAAATCCTCAATAAAAAATTGGCAAATAGGATGCAGCAAATCATCAAGAAGATCATACATCATGACCAAGTGGGATTCATCCCAGGCATGCAGGGATGGTTCAATATACATAAATCAATAAATGTAAAACACCATATCAATAGAGCCAAAAGTAAGAACCACATGATCATTTCTATAGATGCAGAAAAAGCTTTTGATAAGGTCCAATATTTATTTATGATAAGAACCTTGTAGAAAATTGGAATAGATGGTCTTTACCTCAATATAATAAAGGTAATCTATGACAAACCAACAGCCAATATCATACTAAACAGCCAAAAATTGAAGGCCTTCACTTTAAAATCAGGCACAAGACAAGGATATCCCTTATCACCACTCCTATTTAATATAGTACTGGAAATACTAGCCAGAGAAATTAGACAAGAGAGAGAAATAAAAGGCATAAAGATAGGAAAAGAAGTTAAGCTATCATTATTTGCAGATAACATGATACTCTATATAGAAGATCCCCAAAACTCCATTGAAAGACTGCTATATATAATAAATAAATTCAGTAATGTAGCTGGATATAAAATCAATACTCAAAAATCAATAGCATTCCTATACACTAACAACAAAGTCACAGAGAAATAAGAGAAGCCACACCCTTCACACTAGCAACCAAAAAAATGAAATACCTAGGAATTACTCTCACGAAAGAAGTGAAAGACCTGTACAGGGAAAATTATAATACACTGAAAAATGAAATTGAAGATGATCTCAGAAAATGGAAAAATATCCCTTGTTCATGGATAGGAAGAATAAATATTGTGAAAATGGCCATTCTCCCAAAACTTTTATACAGATTCAATGCAATCCCGATAAAAATACTATTAACATACATCACAGAACTAAAGAAATCACTCCTAAAATTCATCTGGAGTGAGAAGAGACCTAGAATATCAAAGGCAATTCTAAGCAGCAAAGGCAAGGCAGGAGGCATAACAATCCCTGACTTGAAGTTATACTACAAAGCAACAGTAGTAAAATCAACATGGTACTGGAACCAAAACAGAGCTGAAGATCAATGGAATAGATTAGAAGATACAACCACAACTACAAACACACTCAACCACCTTATCTTTGATAAAGGGGCCAAATATGTTCACTGGGAAAACAACAGTCTCCAATAAATCGTGTTGGAAAAACTGGCTCTCCATATGCCGAAAACTAAAACTAGACCCATGCCTATCACCATGTACTAAAATAAAATCTAAATGGATCAAAGATCTAAATATTAAAACAGAAACACTAAATTTATTGGAAGACAAATTGGGTAAAAACCTTGAAGACATAGGAGTAGGTAGAGAATTCATGAACAGGACTCAAACCACATGGGAAATACTTCCCAGAGTCAATAACTGGGATCACCTCTTATTAAAATGTTTCTGCACGTCAAAAGAAATCTCCAGCATGGTAAAAAGAAAACCCACAAACTGGGAAGAAATCTTAGTGAACTGCCCCTCAGACAAAGGACTTCTGTCTAAAACATATAAAGGATTTTAAAAAATCAGACCCCCAAAATTCAAAGACCCAATCCAAAAGTGGGCATCTGAGATGAATAAATTCTCAGATGAAGAAATACAAATGGCAAATAAATATATGAAAAAATGTTCATCATCATTAGTCATGACAGAAATGCAAATTAAAACCACACTGAGATTTCATCTCACTCCTGAAAGAATGGCCAAGATCAAGAAAACTACCAACAACAAATGCTGGAGAGGCTGTAGGGAAAAAGGAACTCTCCTGCACTGTTTGTGGGAGTGTAGACTAGTGCAAACATTGTGGAGGTCAGTCTGGAGATTTCTCAGAAAACTGGGACTGGAAGCTCCATTTGACCCAGCTATACCACTTCTAGGCATATTCCCAGAAGAACTGAAAGCATCATACCATAGTGATTTATGTGCACCCATGTTTACAGCAGCACAATTTGTAATAGCCAGATCTTGGAAACAACCTAAGTGTCCATCAACTGAAGAATGGATAAAAAAAGTTGTGGTATTTGTGGGGTTGGGGATTTAGCTCAGTGGCTTAAGGGCCTGCCTTGCAAGTGTGCGGTCGTGAGTTCAATTCCTGGTACTGATAAAAATGAAAAAGACAAAAAAGAAAAAGTTGTGGTATTTTTATACAATGGAGTACTACTCAGCTATAAAGAATGATCACATTGAGACATTTATAAATAAATGGACGCAACTTGAGACCATACTCATAAGTGAAATAAATCAAACACTCATGTATAAATACCGAATAGTTTCCCTAGTGTAAGAAATGATAAGAATACCTAAAAGTATGTGGTAAACATGATTCCCAATCATATTGGTTTGAAGCCATATAATGTTTTCACTCATTAATTGCAATGGTTTTAACCTGGATTGTTCGATTTTAGTATCTATGATAGTACGAATAGCTATTTTGAAGAAAACAAAACAACATAAAAGCTAGTGCTGATTTAATATCATCTTGTTTTGAAGTCCCATCAAGCTGTTGTACATCTGTTTCCACTGGTTTTAACATGTTGTATCTTACTATTTCACTATATGCTATAGTATAAACAAAATTCTTTATAGGCAAAGAGATAATATAGAACCGTTGTTCATTTTCTATTAGCTGGTTCTAAATACCCTGTAATTCTTGCATTCTCTTAAATGGCTTCACACTGTCTTGATATGCTTGATGTTATAGCATACGAAGTTACACTCAAATAATTCAAGGAAAGAGGCACTATGGCAACTACTATTACGTTAGATTATCTGGTGGTGAAACAAATGATGCTTGAATTGTTCGGTTCTGACCTGTGTTGTGCTGTTACAATGTCCTCTCTTATCTCAATCTCCCCCCTTTTTAAAAATTAATCTATTTTCTCGCATTTTTAATTAAGGAAAAACTAAATTAAATAGTAGTGGGGGCATATTATAGTAACTTTCTTGGTTTTCCTATTAACTTGATTTGAACCCCAGTATTGCTCTCCCCATCTTGTTCTGTCTGATTATTCTATATTCTATTTTGTTTGATAGTATCAAGTTTGAGGGTATAGGCAACCACTTTGAAGGCAATAAGATATACTATGATGCCCATTATGTTTTGACTATTATCCTTTTTTTGAAGTCCTGTAAGGTCTCCAGTGTAGGTTTTATTGGTCTTGTTCTGTACTGTTTTGATCAATTCTGTTATACCTGGTGATATAGGCAACTCAATTTAAAAATAGCAAGAGGCACAATGGTAACCACTTTTGATCACCTGGTATTCTATTTTTCCATCATGTACTATGCCCACCCTTCTGTTCTAACCGACTCTGTTTTGCTTAGTCACGTTTGGTTTTATTCTCTGCAAAAAAAAGTAATAAGAACTGTGGGAGTAATAAAACCCAAAAAGTCTAATTGTTATTGTAAAAAAGAGAGGAAAGGAAGGTGGACCAAGGGATATGACTGCAGGTATATTTGAGTGTGTAGGATGGAAAACCATATTATTGAGCTTTTGTTGGATCATTGAACAGAACTATCTCCAATTTCACTGTATGAATGTCCACTTTATATGCTTTAATTTTGTAATTTGAACAACTGTTTCTGGGAAGATACTATGTAACCTATTAACTGGTGATTTCTTACTGTATACTTTTTTTTTTTTGAAATTCTGTATTACTTGTATCCTGTTACTGCTTTGTTTTTTTAATGTCCTTTCTTTTTTTCTCTTTAAATAAAAAAAAAGTCAAGGGGCACATCACAACCCCTGACTTGGTATTATACTGTAAGCTATTGTGATAAAAAATAAATCATGGTACTGGCATAAAACAAAAAGTAAAACAGTTCCAAAGACTCATGGGACAGATTAGAAGATGCAGAAAAAAAAAATACAAACACATTCAGCCATCTTACCTTTGACAAAAGAGCCAAACACATTCAGTGAAAGCAAGATAGTCTCTTTAAAAAATGATTCTGGAAAACCTTGCTTTCTACATACCAAAGACCAAAAGTAGACCAAAGTCTATCACCATGCACTAACTAAAATCAAAATGGTTCAAAGATCTAAATATTAAAACAGTAACATTAAATCTGCTAAATGATAGAATAGGTACAATTCTTGAAAACATAAGTGTAGGAAAGACTTTATGAAGAAACCTAGATTGCATGGGAAATAATACAAAGAATCAACATCAGAGATCTCATATTATTAAAAAGCTTTTGCATAGCACAAAACCACCAAAAAAGTGAGGAGACAACCCACAATGTGGGCGAAATTTTAGTCAGTTGTTCCTCAAAGGACAAATATTTAAAACATATAAAGAAATCAAGAAAATCAGGCCCCCAAATATAAAGACCCAATCCAAAAATGGGCACCTGAGATGAATAGACACTTTTCAGATGAAGACATAGAAACAGAAAATAAATATATGAAAAATATTCAATAACATTGGTCATTTGAAAGATGCAAATTAAAACAACACTGAGATTCTATCTCATTCCAGAAAGAATGGCTATTATCAAAAAAATCAACCAATAATGAATGCTGGTAGAGCAGTGGAGAAAAGGGAACCTTTCTCCACTATTGGTAGGAGCACAGACTGGTGAACTGCTGTGGAAATCAGTGTGGAGAGTCACAAAATACCTCTATTCCATTTGATCCAGGTATTTCCTTTCTTGGTATTTTCCCAAAAGAATTAAAATCACACCACAGTAATATATGCACATCCATGTTTATAGCAGCACACTTTGCAATAGCTAAATCCTGGAAGCAGCCCAAATGCCCATCAACTGAAAACTGAATAAACAAGACGTGATTTTGTTATACAATGGAATAATAATCAGACACAAAAAAGGATAAACTTAAGGCATTTCTAGGTAAATGCATTTTACTTGAGAGCATACTCTCAAGTAAAATAAATCAGCATACACATGTAAATAATGCATTGTTTCTCTGCTGTGAGAAACCAACAGCATAAACAAGAATCAAATTGTAGGACTTCTGGGAAGATGGCAAAGCAGTAAGCAGCAGAGAAAACAGCCTCTCTGAGAGTCACTGTCCAGATGCTAGAATATAGCATTTTAAGGAAGACAAGAAAGAAGGGAGGGAGTTCTCTAGACCCAGGAAAAAGCTGAAATTAAATTGAAGGTCACAGAGATAGTAAAAAGAAAAAACTTTAACAAAGAAGAAGGCGGTAACTGGTGGCGCCTTCACCATGAGACTGGACTCATGGGGATTGTTCAAACCCGGGGATGGATGCATGATCATGGTGACACTGACAGCTGGTGACCCCAAGACTTTGCAGAGAGATGCGACAGTAGAGGAGAGCAGTGGACACTGAGGTCTGTACTGGCTGGCACTTCTGGTCCTGATGACCCATGACTGAGATTAATTAAGGGTCACAAAAAAATATGGTGGCACGGTGACAAAGAATCAAAGACTAGGCCAAACAAGCAACAACTTCTCAAAACCAAAAAAACTAGCTAATCTGGAAGATGCCTCAGAGATGTAATCATCACCCAAGGGTCCTATGTACTACTAACAAAGCAACCCACCATATGCAATTTACAAATATCACCCCAGGAATTAAACTTTAAAAAGCAAAGAAATGAAAAGACACTTAAATAAGATGCAATCTCAGACATTCAGTTCACCAAAGGCAAACCCAGGGGACAATGAGGTTGGACAAAATTAAAGCCCCCACCAGGACTCACTGAAGTGAAAACAACAAAACAATTGAATGAGCCTCTGGAAAAAATGAAATCAGAAATAATTTCTCAGATGACTACAGAGATTATCAAAATACACACCATGCTTAGCAACATTAGAGCAGACACAGACAAAAAATAGATTATCTTAAGTAAATTATGAAAAGAAATGGAACCCATAAATCAGATTCAAGCAGATATCCAGGAGAATAAAAACTTCATTGAAAATATTTAAAGCATATTAGGCTAGTATGAGGACAGGATCTCAGATATTGAAGACAAGCTTGCAGTTAGCAAACAGGAAAAGAAACATTTCTCAAAACTAGCACAGGACCATGAGAAATCAATCCAGCAACTGCTAGACGAGACACAAGAATAACTTAAGATTGAATCAATGAACAAGGATGATACACAAATTACATTAAAAAATGTTCACAAACATCATGACAGAAAACTTTCCTGGTAGAGAAAAGGCATTTGACATATAAGGCAATGATGAAAAAGAAAATCTATAGCCAGGCATATCACAGTCAAGATTCCAGAAATTCAATATAAAAATATAATCACAAAAGCTGTTACAGAAAAAAAAATCACCTATAAAGGAAAGCCCATCAAAATTACAGCTGATTTTGAAGCACAAACTCTCAAGTTAAAGGAGAGCTTGGAGGGAATACTCCATGTTCTTTTTCTCTTTTTTTTTTTAATTGGTACTGGGGATTAAACTCACTACCATGCACTTGCAAAGCAGGCACTTATGCCACTGAGCTAAATCCCCAGCCCCAGTACTCCATGTTCTAAATGAAAGTAATTCAATCCAGATTAATGTACCCCACAAAACTATTTTTAAAAATTGACGGAGAAATAAGATACTTCCAAAACAAAGATAATCTGAGGAAATTCATGATCACCAAACCAGCACTCTGAAATGTTCTGAAGGACATTATGTAAAGAGATAATAAGGACTTCAGCTCCATAAACCCCAACAGAAGCAATCCATCAAGGAAGGCAAACAACTGGGAGGAGCCAGAAACAGGAAAATAATATGACAAGGATAAATCAAATACATATCAGTTATAACCATCAGTGTTAATGGTCTCAATTCACCAGTCAAAGACACAGACTGGCAAAATGGATCAAGAAGCAAGATCCATCAATATACTGCATACAAGGAACACATTTAATTAAAAAATAAATTAATAAATTGAAAGTCAAAGGATGGAAAGCAATACGCCATGCGACAGGAACCCAGTAAAAAGCAGGGTAGCTATTCTAATTGCAGAAAAAATGAATTTCATGCCAAGACTGATTAAGACAGATAAAGAAGCTCACTATATCCTCGTAAAGGGAACAATCCAAGAGGAAGAAATAACAATCATAAATATGTATGCAACAAATAATATTCAGCAAACAATTACTAATGGACATGAAAAATCAAGTAAGGCCTAATACAACTGTATTGAAAGACCTCAATACCACATTGTCACAAAAAGACAGATCAACTAAACAAAAAATCCATAATAAAACATTAGAATGAAATAAAACTTTTAAACAAATGGACTTAGTAGATGTCTATTGAGTGTTCTACCCAATAACATCAAAATACACATTATTCTCAGATACATACATGATATTCTCCAAAACAGACCACATACTGGCTCATAGAACATACTTAAGTAATTGTAAAGGAATTCAAATTATCCCATGCATACGATCAGATCACAGTGCAATGAAATTGGAAATCCATGCCAAAGGAAACCACAAGAACTTCATAAACACATGGAAATTAAATAGCGCCCTACTGAACAACCAATGGGTCACAAATGAAATTGAAGAAGAAATTAGACAGTTTTACAATTGAATGATAATGGCAATACAACATACCAGGACTTGTGGAACATAATGAAAGCAGTCTTGAAAGGGCTGGGGATTTAGCTCAGTGACTCAAGTGCCTGCCTGCCAAATGTGAGGTCCTGAGTTCAATCCCTGGTACCACCAAAACAAACAAACAAAATACCCATATCAAGAAAACAGAGCAAGTATATATATAAACAACTTAATGTTGAACCTCAAACTTCTAGAAAAAGAAGAGCAGGCTAAACCAAAGCTTCTACAAGGGTGAATTATAAAGATCAGAGCAGAAATTAACACACTGGAGACTAAAAAAAAAAATACAAAGAATCAATTAATTGAAGACTTGATGCTCTGAAAGATTAAATGAAACTGACAAACCCTTAGCCAACTTTACCCAAAAAAGAACAGAAAATCCTCAAATCCATGCAATTAGGAATGAAAACAGTGGACTAGCAATAGACCCTGCAAAAATCCAGAAAACCATCTATACTTACTTTAAAAATTTGTATTCTAATAAGATGGAAAATACAGAAGAAATAGACAGATTCCTAGGTATATATGAATTATCAAAGCTGAATCAAGAAGATATAAAAACTCTAAATAACCCAGTATCAATACATGAAATTGATGATGTAATTAAAAACCTATCAACAAAGTAAAGCTCAGGCCCTGATGGATTTACTGCTGAATTCTAAAAGATATTTAAGAGAAAATATAACATTATTACTTCTCAAAATCTTTAATGAAATTCCAAATTCATGCCTAGAAGCAAGCATTACCCTGATACCAAAACTAAGAAAGAGAATTACAGGCCAACTCTCTAACGAGCATAGATGCAAAAAATCCTTAAAACGATAGTGGCAAACAGATTGCAGCAAGCCATTAAGAAAATTATACACCATTATCAAGTGGCGTTCATCTCAGGGATGCATGGATGGACCAACATACATAAATTCATAAATGTAAGAGAAAAGGACAAAAATCATATCATCTCAATGCAGAAGAAGCTTTTGACAAAGTCTAGCACCCATTCATGATAAAAACCTTACAAAAAATGAGAATAGATGGTCATTATCTCAATCTGATACAAGCCTTCTAAAACAAATCACACTGGATAACATCACACTGGACAAAAACTGAAAGCCTTCACTCTAAAATCAAGAACAAGACAAGGATTTCCAGCCTCCACTCTTAATCAACATAATCCTGGAGATTGTAGCTGGAGCAATTA